ATACTCAAGGGGATTATTATTATACTAAAAGAACTTGTGTTATTGTTTTAGGTACTTAAGTCATCGTACGCAAGGGGTAAAGTCATCGTACGCAAGGGGTTAAGTCATCGTACGTAAGGGGTTAAGTCATCGTACGCAAGGGGTTAAGTCATCGTATACAACCCTCAAGTCATCGTACACAAAAAAACGAAAAAAAAAAAATAATAATTCTTACGCTAATATTAAAACAAAAACAACTCAGACGACGGTGCTGCCATCTGGTAAACTAAACCCGCAATTAAACAAAACAAAACAAAACAAAACAACATCACCGCCATAACACCAATTAAACACATCCATTACCTCGTGTTAAAAACCTCGATCGAGTGACCTTCTGATGTTGTGGTCGACCTCTGGGCCACAGCGCCATTATTACGCCTTTATCTTCACTTGTTTGTACAGTATTGGTTCACTCTGCTCTATATTTTACTTAATGATTTTCATGGTTTTGTAACCTTGTAATATATGCTGTATTCTGAGGGCTGGTGGTGTATGTGTGTATGTAATGGGTGTGTGTGTGTATGTATGTGTGTATGTGTGTGTGTCTATCACTATTAGGTTACCTGGTCATAAAGAGGCCCAGGACGTCTAGACAGTTTCACCTTTGCTTGTTACTGAGCAAAAAATGCCACCGCCCATACCACCACTACCCCTACCACTACTACCCCTACCACTACTACCCCTACCACTACTACCCCTACCACCACTATCCCTATCACCACTACCCCTACCACCACTACCCCTACCACCACTACCCCTACCACCACTACCCCTACCACTACTAATTCCCCACACCACTATCCCCATCACCACCACCCCTACCACCACTACCCCACCACCACCACTACCCCTACCACACTACCCCCACCACTACTACCCATACCACTAATCCTACTCTACCACCTCACTACCCATACCACCACCACCACTACCCCTTACCAACCACTACCCCTACCACCACTACCCCTACCACCACTACCCCTGTACCATTACTACCTCCCTACCACCACTACCTGTACCACCACTACGCGTACCACTCACACCCCTACTACCACCACCACCACCCTACCCCCTCACACTCCCGCAAAAACCTAACCTAACCAAACCTTACCAAACTTAACCTAACCTTGACGCTAACCAAACCTAAATTAACCTAACCTAAAACACCTCAGGTAGCATCGGGGTGGTTAATCTTCAGGTGAACTAACCCTTGGGGGGGGGAGGCAAGCAGATCTTCAGAACTTTCCTAAATTCTAAAGTTTATTGACGACTTTCCTCCCTCTACTACCTCGTAACAGTGAGTTGTGCAAGTGACATTTGAAGGCATGTCCTGTCAGCCCTCCAGCCAGCCAGCCAGCACGTAGACGAACCAGGTAAAGGACAGAGAAGCAGAGGATCTCATTAGTACAGTTAGGAGGATGTATATACCTTGGAGGACAAGACAGACATACTCTCACGGCCCTCTGACACACATCTTCCTTTGTCATGCCTCCTATAATAGTTACCCAAGATTAAAGAAATGATAAGTCCTTGTTTTAAAAAATCTTCAGTGTTATTGTGAGTTAATATTATTCTGTCTTGTATTTTATAAAAGATACTGGTGAAAAAATAATTTGTGAGGACATGGAGAACGGACACGACACCAATGTTAAAAATTTCAGGGGGTCTTGGGATGACATCGTCCTCTGTCACGTATTTTATGATAGTTATCCCATAAGAGAATAGATCTTATAGAAAACGGGGATAACATTTTGTTGAAATGGGATTTATCGGAAAATTATGGTATTTGAGGATGTTACACCACACTTGGTTAGCTCGTTGTGTGATCTCTCTCTCTCTCTCTCTCTCTCTCCTATTTCGTCTTTTACTTAATTTTCTTATTCTTTAGATGAGAAGTACATCCCTCGCTTACACGTGACTGTTCCACATATGGCTCTACAACAGGTGAAGATGGTATAAGTTAAGCATCCACCCACCCACCCACCCACCTCCTACCCACCCACAATCTACCCTGCACCCAATCTGAATTCACTACCTCCCACTCCACCTGCTCCCCACCACCCACATCCACCTCACACAGTAATTACGTGTTTTACCTCAGTACGCCACTTTTTACCTGGTGATAATTATATTCTTGGCGTCGTGTTGTGTTGTGTTGTGTTGTGTTGTTGTTGACAAGTTGGAATCATCGTCTCATAACTGTTAAATATCTTTGTTTTTTGTTATTATTCTCTATATTAGGAGTTTGAGTCACTGGAGATCTTCAACTTCTGTGTTGTGTCTGTGTTGTGTCTGTATCGTGTTTGTGTTGTGTCTGTGTTGTGTTTGTGTTGTGTCTGTGTTTGTCTGTGTTGTGTCTGTATCGTGTTTGTGTTGTGTCTGTGTTGTGTCTGTATCGTGTTTGTGTTGTGTCTGTATCGTGTCTGTGTTGTGTCTGTGTTGTGTCTGTGTTGTGTCTGTGTTCCCTGTTTTAATGTCGACGTGTTTACTCACCCATAATTTACGTTGAATCCCCCCCAAAAAATTTACCTCTGTTTTGAAAATTTTTAAGTATCTTCAAAACATCCACAATCCAAACATCAGAAGAAAAAAACACAACAAAACATATCAAGATATTTCCTTCATTCATCAAATATATTCTTAAGACTTTATTAGTTAGCTGCCATCCCCCCTACCACCCCCTCACCCCACCTCACCCCCCACCCCCTTCACCCCCCAAAATTCCCAAAGGTCTTGAAGTCTTGACACACAAACCACAAATTTCAGATAGTTCAGTAACCTTTCCACCTGTTTATATGATAATCCTTCCGTGAGACGCGTCCTTGTAGGGTAGTGGTGGTGGGGGGGGGGGAGCCTCAGATCACCTCAACCTGACTCTCCTGCTGCTGCTGCTGCTGCTAGGGGCGTAGGCGAAGGTAATGTCTTAGTAGGGGAGAGGAGACAGACATCCAATGTGTTGTAGGATCCTCAAGGTGACTGTGTGAGGGTCTTCTTAACAACATGAGTCAGGTAAGTCAATCATTGTTTGTACTTTAATCTTGGTGTTTTGGATTGACTTGATACACTTCTTTTGTAGTTAAGGGTCTTGGACACCCTTGAGTACAAAAATAAATTTCTTGAGTGTAATGATTTAGTTCAGTGGAGATGTTATGTTATTTCCTTGAGTGTTATCTTAACCCCATTTGTGTTATGTTATTACATTGAGTACGATGCTAGCCCCCTCGAGTACACTGAATTAGACTATTCAGATACCCTAACCTCTTGAGTACATTTAGGAGATGAAGAGAACATATATTTACCACTTGTTCCATTATAAAGGCCACAAGCATAACAATCAATAACTGTATAACTGTAACACTTTAACTGTATGACTGTAACACTTTAACTGTATAACTGTAACACTTTAACTGTATAACTGTAACACTTTAACTGTATAACTGTAACACTTTAACTGTATAACTGTAACACTTTAACTGTATAACTGTAGCACTTTAACTGTATAACTGTAACACTTTAACTGTATAAAATATCAATAACCACAGTTTGAAGACGTCCAGCGAGTAATTTCAAAGTCAAATGCAAATTCCAATTGAAAAAAAAAATCTATCCTGCCGAGACGAAAGGAATAATAAAACCTTAATTTATTTCAGATTTCCAAAATTTTCTAGAAAATAATAACATTTCATATCCCGCCGTGGACCCCAGTTTAGGAACCAATTGTGTTAAATCATGGTACTCAAGGGGTTAAATCATCGTACTCTAGGGGTTAAATCACCGTGCTCAAGGGGATAAATCATCGTACTCAAGGGGTTAAATCATCGTACTCAAGGGGTTAAATCATCGTACTCAAGGGGTTAAATCATCGTAATCAAAGGGTTAAATCATCGTACTCAAGGGGTTAATAATCATAGTATTCAAGGGGTTACATCACCGTACTCAAGGGGTTAAATCATCGTAATCAAGGGGTTAAATCATCGTACTCAAGGGGTTTAACAGCGCTCACAATATTCTAGACCTTGTACTTGGTAACAACTTTTAAATAACAGGAAATAAAGTGACTCATCTTACGCCTAAGTTAGTAAACCAATATTAATATCAACAAACTCTATTATAATGTGTCTCTTTTGAAATATCCCAGCTTATTTCACTTGTAGATTAGACACCCCAAGCTTATTTTAACTGAAGATTAGACTCCCCAGCTTATTTTACCTGGAGACTAGATACCCCAAGCTTATTTTACCTGAAGATTAGACTCCCCAGCCTATTTTACCTGGAGACTAGACACCCCAAGCTTATTTTAACTGAAGATTAGACACCCCAGCTTATTTAGACAGCTTATTTTACCTGAAGATTAGACACCCCAGCTTATTTTACCTGGAAACTAGACACCCCAAGCTTATTTTAACTGAAGATTAGACACCCCAAGCTTATTTCATTTGTAGATTAGACACCCCAAGCTTATTTTAACTGAATATTAGACACCCCAAGCTTATTTTACCTAACGCTACCTAGGATGATAGGTTTGGTTAAGTTAGGTTATTATTTGAGTGATTAATCTTCAGGTGAAATTAGATGAGGCGTCTAATGTTCAGGTGACCCAATTAATTTATTTCACCTTGGTCATCCTAAACAGTCGACTGTGGACAACATCCTTGAGTGACACGAAGCATCTTGGTCATGTAATTTACCGCTTGACTGAAACCCGATAAAAATACCAGACCATCAGTCAGCAAGGTAACCAACTCCTCCTCCTCTTATCTGTGAAATGCTTGCTGTGATTACCTATATTTCCCCGTCTGCGTGCACGAGAGCAAGCATGCAAGGCTCTACATATTACCAGGAGAAGCCCCGCCTTCATCTCACGCCTGGCTGATCTGTCCCGTAACATCTGCGAGGCAACTTGCAATATCCATCCAAGAACTATATAAAAAATGACCTCCTAAGGGGTATATATATCTCCAATGTCCATCACACAGCCAGTATCGTCTTCTGCCCACACTCAAACAGACAACATGAAGCTGGTAAGGAAAGAAGAGTCGTAAGCAAACTGGGTCTCTATCCTGTAATAACCAAACTCGACCTAAATATCAAGATTGAGGTCTGGTTAAATTGGAACACGTTAGGTTTAAGCCCATTAAGACTGTGTTCTAATCTGTATGAAAGGTTATGGTAGTTTAGTTTTATCCTATTTTGACTTGGGTATATTAAACTGGGGTCCATTTAACCAGTGACCGTGGGGGAGACCCAGATAAATGTTGTGTCTTGACGTATTATATCTCTACTGATTTAACTCACAGAACAAACTCTCCTCTTAGGTACTGTGAAGCTCTCAAATGTTACACAACTAACTAGGAACACTTGTAATAAACGACAAAACTTCTGTCACTGTAACTTTGACCAACCAAACATTTCAACCAAAACATTTATCTCTTAACTTGATGTCTGTGTTTGTTGTCAATGTGAGAAAGTTATGCTTCAAAAAGACTTACCGAGATATTTATTATGTCATATATTACTTTGAGTTATAACTTTTGCTCTCTTGGTTTATGACGTTGTAGGTAATTCTATTGGAAATTATATACAAATTTCTGATTCTCTTATGACAGGTATTTTGTGTTTACATTAATTTATTGTGTTATATGTCCCACTTATTTTATTGTGTCGTTGTGTCAAATGGTCATCCTGCCTCGAAGACACAGTGGACAGGTAATCAATCAGTAAAACTCATCCAGGTTCTCGTATAAATTCTCTCTTCACCCTACAGATTATTCTCGCTTGTCTGGCCGTCGTCGCCGTTGCCTCCCCTCAGTACCCTCGGGACCCTCGCTTCATCGCCATCGTCCATGAGAACAGTGAGAACGATGGTAACGGCAACTACAACTTCCAGTACGAGGGGGAGAACGGCATCTTCGTGGATGGCTCCGGACGGCGAGGCTCCAAGGGACAGAGCAACATGCAGGGCTTCTACAGGTAGGGATGCTTGTGTTTTTTGTGCTGATGAAACCTGGGTAACTTTTCGAAGGTAGCGTCCGTAGCAACCTTTACAATTTGTAGTGGTCGGTTGGTTGTTGGCTGTTAAGTGAGTAGCCCCTTCGACTCGTTCAGCCACCAAGAGTCAATTAAGTCCTACGTAGACCCTTACTTGGTCTTACTGGATCACTACAGCGTCTCGGTAAACACTGTAACGAGGGAATGAATACAAATATTTATCTAATACACTTCAGCTTATTCAATAGGGATACACTATGTCAGGCTCTGTTGCTTACGTGACGTTCCTGAGGTTGTGGTGACTCGTATATGTTTGATGGCTGTCTTGAGGCATGAGAGGTTCCTTATCACTGCTTGTTGGTGGGTATTTGTTTCAATGCACCAAAAATCGCCAGTTTTTAGTTGATTTGTATTTCAGTTAATAAAAATTCCACTCATAAGTATACAATAAATGATTAAGTTTCCAGAACAGCTCCTCAACACCTGCACGTTCAAGACTAACAAGAGTTAACAGAAGAAAACACAAAGTTGTCTCATCCACCTCACCAACACTTCACACACACACACCATCATGTACTTCCTCCTCCTATAACTGTAAGACTTCTCCCACCTCCTCCCTCTCTCTGGCACCTTGTAGGAGAGAAGCACCGAGAGGACATAACACAAGGTCATCGAAAAACAATGCCCTGACTTTGCATGTTTACACAATAATTTCAAGGCATTCTTTTTCGATGGTATTGCATTTGTATAGATTTGGCTGCGTTTACTCTGCCTAATTCTCACCGACGAGGGATGGATCCTGTAGCAGATCTTAAGACACCCAGAGATCAGTTCCAGGTCATTTATTATTCATCTCTTCTTCTCAGGTTCCCACTGCCTGAGGGCGGCATCGCTGAGGTCCGCTACACCGCTGACGAGAACGGCTTCCGCGCTGAGTCCCCGCTGATCCCCAAGCCTCACCCCCTCCCTGCCCACGCCGTTGAGCAGATCCGCATCGCCGAGGAGCAGCGCCGCCGTGGCATCATCTGGGACTAATTGACTGGACTAATCGACTCCTTCGTGGTGATATACATTAAACTTCGACTCTTCTGTTGTGTAATGCGTAACAACTAAGGCTTTAACCCCCCCCCCCAAAAAAAATAAATAAATAAATAAAAAACATAACCAACACACAAGGGTAAGTGCAGGACACACCCTAACCATACTTAAAAGCTTTCCCCCCCCCCCAAAAAAAAATGAACACCTCTCTTTTTTTTTAATTTACGACCGCAGCTTTGGCAGTGAAAATTGAAATAAATATAAGAAAGTGTTTTATTGTATTTTCATAACCTACATAACAAGAAGAACAATAACAACCTCCTGGAAGAACAACAATAACATGTAGCAAGAACAACTTTTCTCACAAACACACTGTCATCAAATAATTCCAAACTTTCAGATAAAAATGTTCTTCGATAACTCTTGGTACCTCAACACCTCCCTGGGCCAGACTCACAGTATAGGACCCCCTGTGTTACCTCCCTCGTATAGTGCTCTCGGTGATCTAGTGGGTGAAGTGTGATCCGAAGGTGATGTGGATGTAGTTTCATAGTTAGACAGTCATACATTTATACAGACATACAGCCATATATGCAAACACTCACACAACAACATAACCATACATTCATGATTCATACACTCCACACAGCCATACACGCATACACTGACACAGCCATACATGCATACACTCACACAGCCATACACTCATACACACGCACACAACCACACAGCCATACATTCAAACATATACACACACAGCCACAGTTACATAGCCACACAACCACATGACCACACAACCTCATGACCACACAACCACATGACCACACAACCACATAAACACACTGCGACACACATACACACAGGCACACACAACCACACAACCTAACACCTTTTACCCCCCCCCCTCCCCTGTCACCAAAACAAAGAGGGATACTCGCCTTCAGGATCCCAGTGGCTGCCGTGCCAGTAACTTCCTCCTTGCAATCCAAATGGCTCTTACCTTCCTCCTCACCTTCCTCTCCTCCCACCACCATCTCCTCCACCTCGACTTCTTCCTCCTCCTCCTCCTCCACTTCCTCCTCCTCTTCTACATCCCTCCTCTTCCTCCTCCTCCTCCTCCACCATGACCCTCAACCTCTACTTGATGGCATGAATGACACAATAACATGACACAAGAACACATGAACAACGTATACTATGTACAAACACCGACCTTGTGTCAGAAGGTCATAAAAACCAAGACACCTTAATTACAGTTGATGTTCCACAAATAACAGGTGATTATTATTAATCTGATTCTGTACCTCACATTAATTAAGCTTAATCACAGGTGTTACATACAGGTAAAACACTAAGATTGGAAGGGGAGATATGGGTAATGAGAGTGATGAAGATGATGATGATGATGATGGTGACGATGATGATGATGATGGTGATGATGATGATGATGGTGACGATGATGATGATGATGATGATGATGATGATGATGACGATAAAACGCAATTAGAGAAAAAGACAAAATTAAGACAACACATTTGGTCAGAGATATAAATCAAAGCACTACGGTGTGTGGGCGTGGGGGTGTGGGCGTGGGGTGTGAGCGTGGGGGTGTGAGCGTGAGCTGGGGGTTGTGTGAGCGTGGATATGTGGGCGTGGGGTATGTGGACGTGGGTATGTGGGCGTGGTTGTGTGGGCGTGGATGTGTGAGCGTGGAGGTGTGGGATTGAGAATCACAGGTAAGGTCAGGTGTGCGGCTGACCTCTGACCCGTGTGTTGTCTGGCTCGCTGTGATCACTTTATTGTGACGTCAACAACTTACACGATCATGTGGACCAAGAGTGTGTGTGTGTGTGTGTGTGTGTGTGTGTGTGTGTTAGGTTAGGTTAGGTTAGGTTAGGTTAGGTTAGGTTAAGTTTTTCCCACTTATCTTGCTCCCAAATCGCTTCTACAGATACTAGGCAGGCAGGCAGGCAGGCAGGCAGGCAGGCAGGTGGATGGATGGATGAAACATCATATAAATTACATCAAGACAAAATTAGTGAACGACATTACCCTTCAAGTCAATTATCTCTTCACAAAAACATTTCCTTAATTAACTAGAAGATAATAACTCACATAGAAAGAAACAGTTTTGGCGTGAGACTAAATTATTTAACGAGTCAATAGTGAAATAATACGTGGGAGATTTTTCCAACTTGGGATTTATCTATTGGGAAATATCTTGGGGATTTATCTTGGGAAATAAATTGGGAAATATATTGGGAATTGTCTTGGGATTTATCTTGGGATTTATCTTGGGATTTATCTTGGGATTTATCTTGGGATTTATCTGGGGATTTATCTTGGAAATTGTCTTGGGATTTATCTTGGGATTTATCTTGGGATTTATCTGGGGATTTATCTGGGGATTTATCTTGGGATTTATCTTGGGATTTATCTTGGGATTTTTTTCTTAGGATTTTACCATGAATACTATACTCGACTCTGAGGTGAGAAAGACTAGGAAACAAATACATCACATACATCAAGCACATTATTACGGTATTCCCTCTAGAGCGTGGAAAAATTAACATGATGAAATAGTCTAAAAACTCAAGATTAATAATGAGGAAAAATAATAAATGTTTACTAATTGGAAGGTATAATTAGAGAGGGTCCATAATTAAGGGTGGGGTGGAGTGGGGTGGGGTGGGGTGGGGTGGGGTGGGGTGCAGTGGGGTGGGGTGGGGTGGGGGTGGGGTGGGAGGTGGGAGTGGGGGTGGGAGTGGAGATTGAGGTGGAGTGGGGTGGGGTGGGGAAGGGTGGGGAAGAGTGGGGTAGAAACATAGAAATGCGTATTATTCCGCCCATGTGTGCGTTCGTCCGTCCATGCGTTCGTGAGTTGTGAAGACGCATGTGCACTCGAACAAATGAAACTAACCTTCAAACAAATTCCCCCTGTGACTATACCATAACAAGATGCCTATTTCATGTCACTACTCTCCAATCCGTTCTATGTACACAGGTATGTTACTAAATGGCCGAAACCCTGATACTAAAGACAGGTAACAGCAGCCTCACCTGTCCACCCGGTAATGAAGAGGGGGAGGGAAGGGGGAGAGACCAGGTAACTAACCACTAAAATCATTACTCTCCGTCTTCCTGTTGGATTCTTTGCTCTTATCACTATTATATATGTTCTTTTCTTTTTAATTCACTCTATCTCTCTTACCCTTTGGTCTAGTTTCTCTCTTCCATGGAGTGAATGAAGAGTAAATAAACCTCGATAAAAGGGAAGAAATGATGAAGAAGAGAGATAGAAGAAGAGAGTAAAGTGAGAGACATGAGTTGAGTGTGTCAGGGAAATGGTTCTATCCCCCATCTCAACCCACTCACATCCACACCCACATCCACACACACACCCACATCCACACACACACCCACACTTTAACTATCCAAGAACCCCCACTTCCTCTGATATAAATCTTTAACTGAACTCTTAACCAACCTTCACCAGATGTTCCTGCGGCTAGTGTGTGTGTGTGTGTGTGTGTGTGTGTGTGTGTGTGTGTGTGTGTGGTATTTCCTGTAGGTGACTGAGGAGAACAGAAGCTTACGATTACTGGGTTAAACAGTCGTCCGCCCTTCCTCCTATCTTCCTTCCCTCCTCCCGACCATCCCTCCAATCCCAAAACCTTCCCTCCTCCCGACCTTCCCTCACTCCCGACTTCTTCCCTCCTCCCGACCTTCCCCTCCTCCCGACCTTCCGTAGCTCCCGACCTTCCCCCTCACTCCCGACCTTCCCTCACTCCCGACCTTCCCTCACTCCCGACCATCCCTCACTCCCGACCTTCCCTCACTCCCGACTTTCCCTCACTCCTTCCCTACACAATGTTCCTCATCCAGAATCATACACCATTATACACTATTATACATCACGTGTTTATCATTGTCGTGTCTTTCATTGTACTGATTTATCTATTCGTTACGTGTTGTATTATTTTATTTATTGTATTTGTTAGTTTAATTATTGTTATTTTTTATTGATTTTATTTGTTAGTTATGTTGAAATTTATTGTTTTATTAGTGGGGGGAAGGAGGGAAGAATTAAAGAAGAAGGAAGAATGAGAAAGGAAGGGGTGGTGGTTGTTAGATCCAGCTCAGGGAAGTGTATTGGAGGCGTTGTATTGGAGGCGTTGTGTTGGTGGGTGTGTTGGCTGGGTGTGTTGTGTGTGGGTGTGATGGCAGTGTGTGATGGCTGGGTGACAGATTGTGACGGAAAATGAAGATAAGAGGATAAAGATATGAAGGTATGATGATGATGATGATGGTGATGATGATGATGATGATGATGATGATGATGATGATGATGATGATGATGATGATGATGATGATGATGATGATGATGATGATGATGATGATGATGATGGTGATGATGATGATGATGATGATGATGATGATGATGATGATGATGATGATGATGATGATGATGATGATGATGATGATGATGATGACTGAGAAGAAAGAAAGGAATTGGAAGAAGACGAAGAAGGAATAAAAGAAGAGGAGGAAGGAAAGAAAGAAAGAACAACACGAAGAATAATTAATAGGAAGAAGAAAAGAAAAATAATCAAATGGAAGAAGAAAAAGAATCAAAGAAGAATAAAGAAGAAGACAAAGAAGAATAAAGAAGAAGAAACACCAATACGTCCCAACAGGTAATCATCTCCTACACACCTGGGCCAGATGCTACATTCCTGACACAGTGAGGATGACCACAGGTAGGAACATCCGGCCAGACACCATCACAGGTTACCCTTAGGGCCACAGGTGACCAAATAACACAGTGGTCAAGAGGTGCTGTGGGGAGTATATAAACACGTCCCTCTAACACTCTCTCCCAGGATCCTCACACACCTCACCTTACCTCAGCACCCCAGGCTTCTCACACACCACACCTCAGCACCCCAGGCTTCTCACACACCACACCTCAGCACCCCAGGCTTCTCACACACCACACCTCAGCACCCCAGGCTTCTCACACACCACACCTCAGCACCCCAGGCTTCTCACACACCCCATCCCCACCTCAGTACCCCAGGCTTCTCACACACCCCATCCCCACCTCAGCACCCCAGGCTTCTCACACACCATACCTCAAGACACCAGGCAACATGGAGACGGTAAGATCGAGCTTTAAAAGAAACATTAAGTCTTTATGATAGTTCGCTGTTGTATATTATAGAGTTTAGATAGATTCTGGTGTAGATAGTTGTCGAGATATTGGCTGATAGTTGTTATTGATGTTGGATTCACGACATTGACTTGCACGAGAGGATGGTTATATAAAGATCACTGTGTGTGTGTGTGTGTGTGTGTGTGTGTGTGTTGTAGTGTTCCTTCGTGAGAGATGTGACATTATATTTTGAAGAATTTATATTTTTCTCAGATAAGGTAGATAGTTATCGAAATCATGTGTTCATAGTTGTCGGTGTTGTCATTGTATCTTGTAGAGATCCTAATGTGAGATCGGTGACGCCAAATCTTGTGGTGTTTACATCGTTACTCTCGTAGATTGTTGTTGTAGTTGATGGCGGGATTCACGAAGCTCACATAAGGTCGATAGGATAAACACCTGTATAGTTGTTTGAGGTAGATGAAGTTAGATGACTGAGGGCAGAGACTATTACACCTATGATGTGTCTGTGTGGCTATCACCTCCACCTCTTCTCCCATTACCCCAGTTGGTCTTCGTCTTCCTCGCCTGCTTGGCCTCCGTCATCGTCGCTGCCCCTCAACTTGGTCAACAGCAGGATCGTCCACCTCACATCGCCATTATCCGCGACGATCGACAGGATTTCGGAGACGGGAATTTCATCTACGAGTTTGTGTCTGAGAATGGTATCGTGGTGACGGTCCTGGGCACTCCGGGCAGCAGAGGGCAGAGCAACATACAGGGATCCTACAGGTGAGGTCCTATGGAAAAAAATCCTTAAGTAACATATGAATATCCTAGAAGCTTATTTCACCTGATTATTAAACTCCCTAACGCCATTTGCTGTGGTTAGATTAGGTTAGGTTAGGTTAGGTTAGGTTAGGTTAAGTTAGGTTAGTACTAGGATGGTTAACTTAAGTAGCTCCTTCGTCTGACTTGTGTAATAGTTTCTCTCCTTCTCCTCCTCATCGTGGTCAGGTTCCCGCTCCCAGACGGAACCTTCGCCACGGTCCTCTACGTCGCCGATGAGAACGGTTACCGCCCCGAGTCTGACCTGATCCCTACGACTCCACCCGTCCCTGACCACGCTCAGGAGCAGATCAGGGTAGCCGAGGAACAGCGCCGTCAGGGTGTCGTCTGGGACCAAAGAGGATTCAGAGTGAACAGAAAGTGAACGTATTTTAGAGTTCTTCACGCAGATGAGGAGTTTCTAGTACACAATTAAGTTCTTCTGCCATCTGCGCCTTCGAGCTGACTCGCGTCGTCGGGAATCAAAAAAAGACACGAAAGAATCGAGATAGAACAGAAAGTGAACACATTATATGATTCACCAAGACGCTGATGACCTCACCTGTTGATGAATCACCCTCACCTGTCCACGTCCTCAAAAGGTATCAGTTATATGGACGAGGAACAACTGGGGAAGGAAATCGCATTTGAAGGTGGAGAGTGGTTGGGTGGAGGGCGGGAAGAGGAGGGTGGAAGGAGGAGGGTGAAGGTTGGAAAGTGGAAGGTGGAGGGGAGGGGGTGAAGAATAGATGGTGGAAGACTATAGGAGGAGGGTGGATGGTGGGGAGTGGAAGTTGGAGAGTGGAGGGTGAAGGGTGGAGGGTGGAAGGTAAAGGGTGAAGGGTGGAGGGTAGTGGGCGGTGGGCGGAGGGTCATTACCGGTGACTTGTCTATCTCGATTCTCCTCTAAACACAACATAGTCTCTCTTAACCTGTAGATATAACATTAGTCTAGTGTAATATAGTTAAACATAAGGGAACTCTTAGCCTTGAGCCAGAAGAGCTACGTTATGAGCACGGTGTAGTACCTGTATTGTAAAGGACATTGAGATCACCTGAATACATGACACCTCAGCCTATTTCACCTGGGAGGGGAGGTTAGGATAAGTTGGTTAGGTTACGTTAGGTTGGAATGGGTTAGGTGAGGTTTGGTTAGGTTAGGTTAGATTGGAATGGGTTAGGTGAGGTTTGGTTAGGTTACGTTAGGTTAGAATGGGTTAGGTGAAGTTGGTTAGGTTACGTTAGGCTGGAATGGGTTAGGTGAAGTTGGTTGGGTTAGGTTGGAATGGGTTAGGTGAGGTTTGGTTAGGTTAATTATAAGGTGATATAATTTAGGGTGTCTATTCTTCAGGTGACCAATGTTGATATAAACTATCCTTATATAATTAGTGTTTTGATACAACCATTATTTACCTCTTAAGAACCTGAGCCAATATCCTAAAAACAGCGCCAGTACAAGCAATGAATATCGTCTGGCGTTCATCTCCACAAATACATTTCCGAACGCCTCACCAGACGAACGTTCGCCAGCTATCTGTCTATAGTGGCGCTGTCTTTATGGTGAGAATACGATGGTTTATAAATCTCGTCCTGTATATGAGTGTTTATGTTGTTGTAATGTTATGACTGTGTTATAAATAGTGACTTGATGTTGTGAGTTTTAATCTATGCCGGGTTGTGAGGATGCAGAGAATGTTCAATGGAATAGATAACGTAACCTAACGTAACCATAACGAAACCTAACGAAACCTAACCTCTAGAAAAGCTCTCTCTCTCTCTCTCTCTCTCTCTCTCTCTCTCTCTCTCTCTCTCTCTCTCTCTCTCTCTCTCTCTCTCTCTCTCTCTCTCTCTCTCTCTCTCTCTAATAGTCGTCTCATTATTTCCCAAATATTTTCAAGATTCATATTTTCTTTCACAAAATTTCAAGACCCTCAAAAAATAGCAACATTCTTTAATACATTTCTGAGATTTTTGTCGCCCGAATCTGTATAACCGCTGGGTCATACATCATCACTGTTATACGGTGTCTTAGAATATATTTATATTTACAATGCCTTATAGACTTTCGTATTGATTGTGTGGATATATTTATTACCAGAGCAACATTGTCCTAGCATGTGGGAGGTTTTGTGGGAGGTCTCGGGCTTCAGTGAGTGAGGACAATGTATTATAATAGCAAAATTGTCCTCTTTTGTGGGAGGTTTTGTGGGAATACTTGGATATCAATAGATAAGGACAATGTATTTCAATAGCAACATTTGTCCTCTTTTGTGGGAGGTTTTGTGGGAGATCTCTCGGGCTTCAGTGAGGACAAGAGGCTGTTATAATACAAACATTCACACGATCTTGACGAAAATCTTATTAAATCTTATTAAAAAAAAGTCCCAAAATCAAAGCTTCGATAAAATTGACAAAAAATAATAATACAAAAGAAATTATTCGAAAAAAAAAATCCCAAGAAATGAATCAAAATAAAACTAATAAAAATTTCATCAAAAAATCAAAATAAAATCCCCCCAAAAGACGAAAACAAAAGAACGAAAGTCATACAAACGTTCAAATTTCCTTAAAAAAAAGTAAAAACAATAGAAAATAAAACCTAAAGTAAAAAAAAAAAAAAGAATATATATGGAAATATCAACATAAGTGGTGAGGAATTTAAATTATCTAGGGGAAACGCTCGAGGTGGGTCCATCTCTCTCTCTCATATACCTGTTCTTTCTGTCTACCTACCTGCCTGATTACCTGCCTACCTGACCTTCACCTGGTGGGTAGAAAGTACAGGAAATGATGATGATGAAGGAGAGGAGAGGAAGATGGAGAAGAGAATAAAGAGAAGAGAAGCAAAGAGAGAGGAAGAGAGGGGTGTATAAGAAGATAGTGAAGGAAAAGATGAAAATTACGAAATAGAAGTGAAAGGAGGGGGAGGAGGAGGAGGAGGAAAGAAGGAATGAAAGCAGGAAAAAAGAAGAGGTTAGGTTAGCTTAGGTTCGGTAAGGCTGCGAGATATTAAAACACACACTGAGAGATATTAAAGCACACACTGAGAAGTATTAAAACGCACTGAGAAATATTAACACACACTGAGAAATATTAAAACACACACTGAGAAATATTAAAACACACACTTGAGAAATTTAAAAACACACTGAGAAATATTATGTTTCTTACTAGTCTTCTTTATGATGACAGACTTTACTTAGAATTCCCTTACAAAAAAAAAAAGAAACACGTAATTTTCTCACAAAAAAAGAAATATATTACTGGCATTACCTTTCTGTTTCCTTGTTATTATTTCACTTACTGTTAATCGTTAATCCAAAACATAAAATAGAATTCTTAAATGTTAACCTCAGTAGTTAAAATTGTCATATGTTTAATTAGTAATCACCCCAGTAATTAAATAATCACATTGTAATTGATTATCAACCCTAATGATTAAATAAGTTTGTAATTATTAATCCCATTAATTAGATAAGTTTGAACTAATCGACCTTAACAATTAAATAAGTTTCATCATAATTAATCATCAACACTAGCAATTACACAAGTTATAGCTAAATTAATAAACTCGTATCATAATCCAGTCTTGTAATCCTGTGGTCTCTTGCATCGCTTGTACTGTAGGGAGTCCCAACCACGCGACCTTCCTAAGACCACCGGTAGGCTCCAGTCTACGGGCCGTCTCCTCAAACGCCCGAGACAGAATTCCTGGAAAGCCTGACCCGAGGAGACGTGTATATAAACCCCCTTGACTCAGCCCACATCCCACAGTATCCCGAGTCAACCCTCACAGACAACAACATGCAGCAGATAGTGAGTGTCCGAGAGCTGGATGAAATAGCCCAGATTCTTGATTTCTTTCTGTTTGGGGTTTTTTTATTTTGAGTTTTTGTTATTGATAGTATTGAGGGTTTTTTTCGTTATTGTTGTGAATTTTTTATTTGGTTTTAGGAAGATTGTGAGTAATTGTGGATTCCTTTATTGTTTCTCATTCGTGTTTAATAGTGTCTCATTTATGTTGAGTTTAATGAACGTTTTTGTACAGTTTGTGAGTGTTGATGTGAGAAAATGTAGCCATAAAGTCTGTCGTTGTTGTAATTAGTTGAGGGTCTTTTAGGATATTTGTTTAAGCTATGGATATATTAAGGACAAGAGGTAAATGCGTTAGTTTTATTTCACTGTCAGATACCTGGAGTTAATGAGCTCTAGGTGGTAAATATTCTTAACCTTTATTGTAGATTTTACTTTCAATTTCAAGGAACTATTTTTGTTTCCTTCTACTGTATCTCTGTCCATCAAATGCTGTAATTTTTTGTTTAGATGTTAATTACTTTAGTGAAGGTGTCTAAATTTCACAGTTACATGTACCGATAACTACCTTCGTCAGCTTTATTTTAATCGTTCAAGAGTTAATGTTGTAGGTTTAAGTGGTAGAGGAACCGTGTCATAATCTTTACTCCTTTTTCGGGATAACATAAAAAAAAAGTTCACTGAGGTCTACACTTCCATGTACCGATAATAAACATCACCATTTTTATCGTTCTTGATGGGCTCTCAAACTCCAGTATGACTCGGCCTTCACCCGCCCTCTCACCCCAGGTCCTCCTCGCTTGCCTGGCCGCCGTCGCCGTCGCTGCCCCTCAGCAGTTTGTAAACGACTTCGACCAACCAGAGATCCGTCGCCCTATCGCCATCTTGAGGGACGAACGCACTGACAACGGTGACGGCAACTTTAACTACCTGTTCGAGGCTGAGAATGGCATCTTTATGAACGCCGTCGGCACCCCAGGCTCCAAGGGCCAGAGCAACATTCAGGGCTCCTACAGGTGAGGCCAGTCTCTTGATTGTGTTAAAAATAAACGCTGCTGCAGGCGAAACAGAGAGTGATTTTCGTCTGGCAGAATTAACATAAGTTTGTCATGATGGGTTGGGTGGAAGGAATGGTTTCTGTAGCTTAATTGAAGTGTGGAGGGACGGTAATGGGACGGGAGGGAGGAAGGAAGGGAATCCCAGACAGTGTTGATTATAATGGCCCCACCCTTAACAGGCCCTAGGCATAACAGCCCAACCCTAAAATGACCTAGACATTATGGGCTCCATCCAAACTTACCCATACCAGCCAATGGGGTTGAGGCTCATTAGGACTAGTACCTGGGCCCATTAAATATGTCACCCAATAGGATTTGTCACTAATCCGAATGGCTAGAATCAGTGGTTCTCAACCTTGTTTGCCCCATGCACCCCTTTCACCATATGTCAGAATGTCATTCCCCCCTCCTTTCCAAGATTGTCTGCCTCAAAAAGTGCATTCCAAATAATATGCATATAATACTGAAAATCCTTTATTTTTTCCATATTAGTATCAGTTCCCCCCCCCCTGAAAACCTGAGGGGGGAAATTCCCCCTGGTTGAGAACCCCTGGGCTAGATTAAATTGGGGCTTTTTAAGATGGAGGATAGTTTGGCCAAGTACTGCTATCCTCACACCCCGCCACACACTCCTCCATCCTCACCCTTCTTGACTCGCATGTTTCCTCACTCTAACCTTCTACCTCACTCATCCTTCACTCCACCACCTCTTCATGTCACTCTTATTCACCTTCGCCAAAATGTTTACGTCTTTCTCTCACTGTAACTCCCATCCCTCATGTTCATCCACTCCTGGGTAGTGTAGATAAATCACCAGACTAAGTTAAGTAATATTATGGTGATTTTTGAACCCTTTAAATGATCCTTTAAGCCATAGTAATTCTGTTTATCTTTTCATATAATTATATTGACGTCAGAAGTAATTTTGATCTTTCTTCCCTAAATTTATCTTATTTTTCTTACTTCCTGTTTATTTCCTCTTCCTTCTCCTCTCACTTTCCTCTTTCTCTGGATTAACTCAGCTACGTTCTCCCTCCCTCAGGTTCCCCCTCCCTGACGGCACCATCGCTGAGGTCCGCTATTTTGCTGACGAGAACGGCTACGTTGCTGAGTCCCCCCTCATCCCCACCCCTCACCCCCTCCCCGCCCACGCCATCGAGCAGATCCGCATCGCCGAGGAGCAGCGCGCCCAGGGCATCACCTTCCAGTAAGACGACGTTCTTGAGATGACAATGAAGCAATACGAGTGTCGACTTGATCTTCGAATCCTTACCATATTCTACAAAGAGCTTACCTAGTTCCTAGCTCTCTTTCTCTCTTTCTCTCTCGATCTTTTTATTCTAATTACTTGACAGGATAGTTTTATCTCCAACTGGAGCTTCGACTTCATTGATACCTAGGAGATCAAATTCCCTCCTGAAGCATCGAACTTATTTTTCTGTTGCCTGACCTGTTGCCCAACCTGTTCCAGCTCCAAGCTATAAGTTCCAACTCATTGTGTTATCTTTATATAACACCAAGTGAGTAACAGCTCCAGAAGGGTGATGAGAAGTTAAGAAAACAAGAGAGAAAACGCGTCTTTTTTCTATACGTGTGAGTGAATGAACCCTTACTGTACCGACTTCCAACTGGAGCTTCGAAACTTTTAACTTGTTTGAATTAATTTTTTTTTTGTGAATTATTGTGATATTTTCTGATGGAATGTTCACAAGTAAATAAAATAAACTGAGATCGATTGTTGCCTTTAAAATTTTATTATCATACAACTTAACCACCACCACACTGTCTCCAATAGATAGTGAGATAAGTCTATTGGCCACAAATATTAGCAAATTACAAATAAAAATACAAAGATATTGAAAAAAAAAATGTAATCTTTATGTTCCACAAATATAAACCAAAACCAAAACATTAAAACAAAAAACAAAACCACAGACAATATGTGTTCTTGGATACGATTACAAAGGAAAAAAAAAGTTGTATAAAACCAGAAACGCAATGAAATACACACAAATACAGGTATGAAATGTGTATACTTATTCATGTATAGAAACATTATCTCCTAACTTTAAGATTTTCAGTATCTTTTCTACAATATATAAATTACCACAAAAAAATAATTGCAATTTTAAGACACCATCGTTTTTTTTTATCATACATTAGGTGATTTTTTTACGAACACTGCACCGATTATGTAAAAAAAAAAAAACAATCCTAAGACATCAATAAGACGTTGTACTTTTACACTGAAGGACTGTAAGAACGTATGAGTGTTGGTAATGAGGCACTAGGGAGGAGGCATCTCAAGGTAAGGGTGTAATATACAAAATATGAAGAGTTAGAGAATTGTAAATACCTGTTTTATTATTGTAGTTGTGTATGGTTTGTTGATGCTTACTGACAGACAGACAGACAGAGACAGACAGACAGAGACAGACAATTAGATAAAAATGAGAGCTAGAGAAACAGAGAGACACATTTCTCATATTAACCTTTTTATCACATTCACTTGATGGGGGGATGTTTTGCCGATGATGATTGGGAGTCAAGAGAGGGGAAGAAGATGGGGGGGAGGAGGAAGGGGAAGAGGGGAGAAGGTGGAGGGACTGGAGAAGGAGGACGAGGATGAGGATGAGGAAGTGGAGGAGGAGGAGGAGGAGGTTGCTGGAGGAGAAAGAGGATGAGGGGGCGGAGGAGGCTGAAAGAGGGACTAGAGGAGAAGAACAAGGGGTTGGAGGAAAATGAGGAGGGGCTGAAGGAGGGACTAGAGGAGAAGAACAAGGGGTTGGAGGAGAATGAGGAGGGGCTGAAGGAGGGACTAGAGGAGAAGGACAAGGGGTTGGAGGAAAATGAGGAGGGGCTGAAGGAGGAGAAGGTCGGGGAAGAGAAGAAGAAGCAGGAGGAGGAGAAACCGAAGAGAGAATACGAGGAGGAGGAACAGGTGCTGGAGAAGGTAGAAGTAGAAGGAACCCAAGAAGAAGGAAAAATAGAAGGAGGAGGATTATAATGCACTAATGACTCTGATAAGGACAGCTTCATCATCTTCCTGTGTTGTGTCTCCGCCTGTCTGTAGTGTTCAAGCAATCAACAGGTAGAATGATTTTATTATTGTACAGGTGCGTCGAGGATTATATCTTTAAAAGGTTCTTACGTTACAGGTGAAGGTTGAGAGATAAGGTGGGTGAATATACGTGTTTGACAGACAGACAGACACAGAGAGAGTCACTTAGTCACATGGTTGCAACATCTGAATCTGGCATAAGAAATATTCACGAATATAATTGCAATGTCTGATTAACGTCACAATAAAGGCAAGTGATCTAAATTATGCAACATTGTTATTCTCACTCTTGCAATCTTCCTGCAGTATTACAACGGCAAGAAGACACTGACTCTCTCGGGTTTTGGTCATCTCCTCAGTTACTCTTTCTGTTGCAACATGTAGGTACACTCCTCATTGCTTCACTCGTCTGACATTCACGTTCACTGGTGCTTCTTGGCTGTTTCTCCCTCTCACTTCTAGCATGTCCCTCCCACTCACTTCTATCATATCCCCCTCCCTCCCTCTCACTTCTAGCATGCCTTTCCCTCTCAGTTCTATCATGTCCCTCCCCCTCACTTCTAGCATGCCCTTCCCTCTCAGTTCTATCATGTCCCTCCCCCTCACTTTTAGCATGTCCTTCCCACTCACTTCTAGCATGTCCTTCCCACTCACTTCTAGCATGTCCCTCCCTCTCACTTCTATCATAGCCCTCCCTCTCACTTCTATCATAACCTTCCCCCTCACTTCTATCATAACCTTCCCCCTCACTTCTATCATGTCCCCCTCCCTCCCTCTCACTTCAAGCATGTTCTTCACCCCATCTTTACCCCACCTCTCCTTCTTATCTTCCTTTCTTATTTACCCACTTTTTTTAACCAATCTTTCACTCTCCATGGGATGTGGTGGTCAAGTGGATACAACCCTTATCTCTCTCCTAAGGGTTGTTGGTTCTCAGTCGACCCTTCTGTGGATGGGTTCCCGATATTAGCTTTAGAAATAGAGGCACTTAAGTTTAATGCCTCCTTGTGTATGGAAAGTATTCAGTATGCTGTATCCACACTGCCCCTAAATGGTTACTGGTCTCTCGTTCATACTCATTATGTCTTGCATCACCTCAACAAACCCTGGTTAGCTTCATGTCTTGATACGTGTTTAGTTTCCTTATATGTCTAAACAAACTACAATGATAATAATTACTGAAAAGAAACTTGCATTTTTTATATTAGTGAAAGAACATTATAATTTTTCTTCTACTCCGTTTCATTATAAGTGTTGACGTTGGATAAACATTGTAACTATTCAATAACTTGTGTTTTGGGTGAATTTTTGTAATATTGTATCAGAAAAAACTAATTATCCAACCTAACCTAACCATAAATAAGACAAAAAATATAAATATCGTGAGACCTTAACTCCAGAGAAACACAATATCGAAACATATAATTTATTAAACAAAACTCACATTGAAAAAGACCAAATACCTTTAATTATAATATTACAGGTAAATACAAAAAAAAAAAAATCCTAAAAATTTATTTATTACCAATTAAATAATTATCAGTAAAAGACAAACACTATTTTGTACTTTTAGAATTGTTATAGAATGTATAATTGTGTATGAGGTACAGTGACGAGGTACAGTGTAAGTATGAGGTACAGTGATGAGGTACAGTGTAAGTATGAGGTACAGTGATGAGGTACAGTGTAAGTATGAGGTACAGTGATGAGGTACAGTGTAAGTATGAGGTACAGTGATGAGGTACAGTGTAAGTATGAGGTACAGTGATGAGGTACAGTGTAAATATGAGGTACAGTGATGAGGTACAGTGTAAGTATGAGGTAGAGTGATGAGGTACAGTGTAAGTATGAGGTACAGTGATGATATACAGTGTAAGTATGAGGTACAGTGATAAGGTACAGTGATGAGGTACAGTGTAAGTATGAGGTACAGTGATGAGGTACAGTGTAAGTATGAGGTACAGTGATGATGTACAGAATAAGAGTACAGTGATGATACAGTGTAAGTATGAGGTACAGTGATGATTACAGTGTAAGTATGAAATTACAGTGATGAGGTACAGTGTAAGTATGAGGTACAGTGATGAGGTACAGTGTAAGTATAGGAGGTACAGTGATGAGGTACAGTGTAAGTATGAGGTACAGCGATGATGTACAGTGATACAGATGTAGGAGTATGAGGTACAGTGAGGTAACAGTGTAAGTATGAGACAGTGATGAGGTACAGTGTAGAGGTACAGAGGTACAGTGATGATGCAGTGTAAGTATGAGGTACAGTGATGAGGTACAGTGATGATGTACAGTGTAAGGTATAGGGCAGTGAAGTGAGGTACAGTGATGAGGTACAGTGTAAGTATGAGGTACAGTGATGATGTACAGTGAAGCATGAGGTACAGTGATGAGGGTACAGTGTAAGTATGAGGTGCAGTGTATATGAGGTACAGTGCAATGTATGAGGTACAGTGATGAGGTACAGTGTAAGTATGAGGTACAGTGATGAGGTACAGTGTAAGTATGAGGTACAGTGATGAGGTACAGTGTAAGTATGAGGTACAGTGATGAGGTACAGTGTAAGTATGAGGTACAGTGATGAGGTACAGTTTTAGTATGAGGTACAGTGATGAGGTACAGTGTAAGTATGAGGTACAGTGATGATATACAGTGTAAGTATGAGGTACAGTGATAAGGTACAGTGATGAGGTACTGACACATACTGGATTTAGTTGTTTATTCTTGATATATACAGTAGACAGTAGACAGTAGAGATACAGTAAACAATAGAAAATAGACAGCAGACAATAGACGGACAATACATAGTAAACAGCAGACAGTAAACACAATAGACAATAAACAGTAGACAATAGAAAATAAACACAGTAAACAATAGACAGAAAATAGACAGTAGCCAATAGACAGTACATAGACAACAGAGCGAGAAAAATATATTTACTATAACACCTACAGTACAGGTATACTATAACACCTACAGTACAGGTATACTATAACACCTACAGTACAGGTATACTATAACACCTACAGTACAGGTATACTATAACACCTACAGTACAGGTATACTATAACACCTACAGTACAGGTATACTATAACACCTACAGTACAGGTATACTATAACACCTACAGTACAGGTATACTATAACACCTACAGTACAGGTATACTATAACACCTGCATAGTACAGGTATACTACTATAACACCTACAGTACAGGTATACTATAACACCTACAGTACAGGTATACTATAACACCTACAGTACAGGTATACTATAACACCTACAGTACAGGTATACTATAACACCTACAGTACAGGTATACTATAACACCTACAGTACAGGTATACTATAACACCTACAGTACAGGTATACTATAACACCTACAGTACAGGTATACTATAACACCTACAGTACATACTATAACACCTACAGTACAGGTATACTATAACACCTACAGTACAGGTATACTATAACACCTACAGTACAGGTATACTATAACACCTACAGTACAGGTATACTATAACACCTACAGTACAGGTATACTATAACACCTACAGTACAGGTATACTATAACACCTACAGTACAGGTATACTATAACACCTACAGTACAGGTATACTATAACACCTACAGTACAGGTATACTATAACACCTACAGTACAGGTATACTATAACACCTACAGTACAGGTCTACTATAACACCTACAGTACAGGTATATTATAACACCTACAGTACAGGTATACTATAACACCTACAGTACAGGTATACTATAACACCTACAGTACAGGTATACTATAACACCTACAGTACAGGTATACTATAACACCTACAGTACAGGTATACAGTACAGGTATACTATAACACCTACAGTACAGGTATACAGTACAGGTATACTATAACACCTACAGTACAGGTATACTACAACACCTACAGTACAGGTATACTATAACACCTACAGTACTTCATAACAGGTATATTAAAAATAGCCTTTTGGACTGACCTAACCCCACACATCACGAGAGAATCAGAAGGAGAGTTTCACACAAGCTAATTAACAAGGGCCTCAATGTTGCCTTATGACCTGGTCTATGCCATAGTTGTGGAAGGCCTGTGAATACTGGAAGTGATATTTTGTTGATACCGTGATGTAAAATAAATGTTTAGCTGTGTTTTATATTTTATGTGTTGAGTTTGGTTTTTGTATTGATCTGAACTATGATTATTAAAGGGTAATATTAACATTCAGGTGGATTGTATATATGATAAATTTGATTATTGAGATATTTCTAAGTCATAAGGTTACAGGAGACTTGATATAGGAATTGAAGTATCATCCAAGGGTACTGAGAGTTTAATTACAAAGTAGAATTAATGATAGAGATTAGTGGATCTTTTTCACATGATGTGCCAACAATAATTTCTAAAATATTACAAACTCACAATAGGGAGGAGGAAATCCTTTAAACGGCGTCCTTGTGTTGGTAGAAAAATCCTTCAGGAGTGAAAGTATTCAAAGCCGTTAAGGTCAAAACTGCTGGTGACCTTCAAGGGCTTCACGAGCGCGCTGCTGCTCTTCGGCGAAACGGATTTGCTCGAGGGCGTGGGCGGGGAGAGGCGGGGGCGTGGGAAGGAGCGGAGACTCGGCCCGGAAGCCAAATTCATCGGCGATGTAGCGGACCTCAGCGAAGGTACCGTCAGGAAGCGGGAACCTGAAGGAGCGGGGAGATGAAGGTGATTGTTATAGGCCTGTTAAGGAGGTGGTGTAAGGGTAGTACTGGAAGGGAAGAAACGAAGAAACTCCTAAATCTGACTCGATAAAGGTCATACACAACATAATGTAACACAAAACTAGCAACCTTATTTCTTTCTTTAGATACACCTGTGATCCCACCTACACGTTCTAAACTAAAACACCTGTATTCTAAATAAAAGAAAAAAACATCTGGGCTCTCACCTGTAGGACCCCTCCACGTTGCTCTGGCCCTGGGAACCTCGACTACCGAAGGCGTTCACGGTGATGTCGTTCTCGGATTCAAACTCATAGTTAAAGTTGCCATCTCCGCTGTTCTGTCGGTCGTCGCGCAGGATGGCAATGTTTGGTTGACGCTGTTGTTGTTGTGGTTGATGCTGTTGTTGTGGTTGATGCTGTTGTTGTGGTTCCTGCTGCTGTTTTGGTTGCTGCTGCTGCTGCTGACGTTGGTGGGGCTGACGCTTTTGTTGTTGCTGGTCCACTTGTTGATGCAGCTGAGTGTGCTGGAGGCTCACCCCCTGAGGCTTTCGTGAAGATGGGGTCGGTGGGTCGAACTGGGGCAGCGCAATAGAATGGGGAAGACTGAACTGAGGCTGTCGACTGAACTGGTCCTGTTGACTCTGCTGGGGCTGTCGAGTGAATTGGCTTGGCTGTGACTGTCGAGTGAACTGATCTTTCTGACTCTGCTGGGGCTGTCGAGTGAACTGATTCTGCTGCTGCTGCTGTCGATTGAATTGGTCTTGCTGACTCTGCTGCGGCCGTCGAGTGACTGGAGTCTGTTGGAATTGTCGATTGGACTGACTTGGTTGGATCTGTCGACTGGACTGACTTGTTTGGAGCTGTCGACTAGGATGACTTGGCTGAAACTGTCGACTGGACTGAATTGGTTGGGCCTGTCGACTGGACTGACTTGATTGGAGCTGTCGACTGGATTGACTTGATTGGATCTGTCGACTGGACTGACCCTGTCGAGTGACCTGGTCTTGTTGACTCTTCTGTGGCTGTCGAGTGACTTGAATCTGTTGAGGTTGCCGATTTAACTGACTTGGTTGAGATTCTAGACTGAAATGATTCTCTTGGGGCTGTCGACTGGACTGACCCTGTCGACTAAACTGGTTCTGCTGATTCACTTGAGACTGTCGACTGACCTGACTCCGTCGACTCCCCTGATTCCGCTGTCGATTGACCTGAGGCTGTGGAGTGAACAGACTTAACTCCTCCTGCTTGTTGAAATGAGACGTCTGACTGAACTGATCTTGTCGCTCCAACTGGGGCTGTCTAAGGGATTTAGACGGTCGACTTTCCTGAACCTGTCGAATTCGATCACCGAAACGACGGGAGCCTCTCTGATTGACTTGGGAACCCGCTGAGGCGACGACTACCAGGCAGGCAACGACCAGCTGAAAGATAAACGACAATAATATGAAGGTACTGGGATGACAGACAGAGTGAGAGAGAGAGAGTGTACTGACCCCCATTCATCACCTCAGCACCATTGTATATCTTCACAGTGTCAGGTCTGTAAACACTCACTTTCAATCCCACTCAGTAGGTCAGTGTCAGGGAGGGTGATTAACCTTACGAGGGCTGTCAGGGGGGTGGGGGGGAGTAGGGTTGAATAGTGGGTTTGAACTTAATTTAAGAGGTTTTATGATTCGTTTCTTTTCTTAAATGCGTTTTATGGCTGGATAATAAGTATTACTTAAAAGGATTTAAGGGTGGATAATGGGTTTACTAGTGTCCTTATATGGGTTTTAGAATTGGATAATTGGATTTCTACGTACATTAAAAGGGATTTAGGTATAGATAAGAGGCTTTAAATCGACTTTAATGGAGGTTCCGGGATCATAAAGGAGTTTCGTAAGTATATTAGATTAGGTTGGGTTCCGTTAGGTTAGTTCATAAGTTAATTAAGGGAGTATAAGAGGGTATGAAGGCCGAGTGGACACAACAGTCGCCTCTTGGGTTAAGTTTCGCTGTGTCAGTCTCGGGGTGTTACCAATCATTTAGTTCCTCCATCACTCACTGTCTCGTCAGCTTCCCAGACTTTGTGAATCACGACCTAGAGAAGCATAAGACCTCTGTGGTTCTCACCTTCGTTTGACTTCACTAAAGCCTATAACTTAGCCAACCACAATATAATCATCAACAAAGTCATTAACATTGAGATCGGGAGAAATCTTGTTTTGTCTTATAATCTTCCTCAACGACCACCACCACCAAGCTGTACATCTCCGAGGGTCCATCTGCCGCCCCTTGTCACTCTCTTGTGGCGTCCCCCAAGGTGCTACGACGAGACCTTTCGGTTTCCTAATCCTCACTACTGATACTCGTGGTTACACTGCCTTATACATCACCCTATACAGCTTCCAGTCACCACTACACCCTAAACAGCCTCCAGTCACCACTACACCCTGAACAGCCTCTAGTCACCACTACATCCTGAACAGCCTCCAGTCACCACTACACCCTAAACAGCCTCCAGTCACCACTACACCCTAAACAGCCTCCAGTCACCACTACACCCTGAACAGTCTCCAGTCACCACTACACTAAACAGCTTCCAGTCTCCACTACACCTAAAAACGGCTTCCAGTCACCACTACACCCTTAACAGCCTCCAGTCCTCACAACACCCTGAACAGCCCCCCAATCACCACTACACCTAAACAACTTCCAGTCACCCACTACACTCTTAACAGCTTCCAGTCTCCACTACACCTAAAGCAGCTTCCAGTCACCACTACCTAGACAACTCAGTCACCACTACACCCTAAACAGCTTCAGTCACCCTACACCCTGAACAGCCTCCAGTCACCACTACACCTAAACAGCTTCCGATCCTTTTTCACACCCTAAACAACTTCCAGTCACCACTTCACCCTAACCTTCCCAGTCATCCACCACCCTGAACAGCCTCAGTCACCCACTACACCTAAACCAGCCTCCAGTCACCACTACACCCTGAACAGCCTCAGTCACCACTGCACCTCAGCAGCCCCTAATCACCACTACACCCTAGACAGCCTCCGATCCCACTTTTTCACCTAAAGCAACCTCCAGTCACCACTACACCCTGAACAGCCTCCAGTCACCCTACACCCTGAGCAGCCTCAGTCACCACTACACCCTAAAGCAGCCTCCAGTCACCACTACACCTGAACAGCCTCCAGTCACCACTACACCCTGAACAGCCTCCAGTCACCACTACACCCTAAACAGCCTCCAGTCACCACTACACCCTGAACAACCTCCAGTGCCACTACACCCTGAACAGCCTCAGTCTCCACTACACCCTAAACAGCCCCAATCACCACTACACCTGAACAGCCTCAGTCTCACTACCCCACCCCTGAACAGCCTCAATCACCACTACACCCTCTCATATTTTTCCTAACTGGTTCCTGAACATAAAGGGACAACCTCATGCACAGAAAACATAAGGGTCAAACTTGTTTCTGCATTTTTAACTTGTAGAAATTATTAGTCTCATTCGTAGACCTCTTAATGACTCAATCTTGTACTCTGCAATATAACATCAATGACTCAATCTTGTACTCTGCAATATAACATCAATGACTCAATCTTGTACTCTGCAATATAACATCAATGACTCTTGTATTTCAATAACTCTCATACAATCCAACATCACTGACACTAACTTGAACCTTATGAAATTACAATAATCATAAAAAAAAAAACATTGAATCACATTGACTCCAGAACACCAACGACACATAGTAAACTGAAGGACAACGTCAGTATCACCTTCAGGTACTCACGAGCTTCAGGTTGAGTGGATGCATGGTGAGGGGCGGGTCGGAAGAATGAATACAGACAGGTGGAAAATACTTATATATATATACCACCAAACTCTCCCACACCTTTTGTTAGTCTGCTACCAAGGATATACCTGATCATTACCTGTCTCTCTATTGTTCCGTATTCCTCGGGGTCATACCTGAGGTCCCATTCTTAGTTTGTAATGAAGTGTTTTTGTGACTGATATTGTGGGTGTTTTGCCTAGTGGGGTGAAATAGGTTATCATAATAGTGTGTGTGTGTGTGTGTGTGTGTGTGTGTGTGTGCGTTAGGGTAGGTTAGGGTAGGGTAGGTTAGATTAGGTTAGGTTAGTTTAGGTTAATTAGGTTTGGTTAGGTAAAATAATGTTTGATTAGGGTAATTAGGGTAAGGTAGGTTAGGTTAATTACGTTAGGTTAAGTTAGAGTAGGTATAAGGTAAATTAGTTTATATTAGGTTAATTTGGTTAGGTTAGATTAATTAGGATAGGTTAGGTTGGGGTCTGTTAATGGTGGGGTCTGTTAGTGTGTGGGGTCTGTTAGTGGTGGGGTCTGTTAGTGGTGGGGTCTGTTAGGTTGGGGTCTGTTAGTGTGTGGGGTCTGTTAGGTTGGGGTCTCTGTTGCCAGTGTTTGGCCTCGAGACTCTGGTAATGAAGTTATTTTTACCATTAAGGGCCATTAACAACACTCTCACTGTGATTAATGGCGGTGATGGCCTACAGTGGTGTCAGCGGTAGTGGTGGTAATGGTGACAGCAATAGTGGTGTCGGTGATGTTAGTGACAGCGGTGGTAGTGTAAGCGGTGGTGGTCTAAAAAGTGCTGGTGTCAACGCCGATGGTGTCAGGAGTGTAGTGGTGTCAGGAGTGTAGTGGTGTCAGTGGTGATAGAGATGACATTTATTTTTGTCAGCGAAGATATGAATTAGTGACGTCACGCCGTAATACTGTAACTTTAAGCAATTAGGGCATCACACTACCATGATTAATGACATTTAAAGCATTAATATCATCACGGCACCATGATTAGTGCAAGGCATTTCACTAAGCACCATTATTTAGTACCTCTGGCGCCTTACCTGCGTAGTTACCTGAAAAACCCATAAAATGAACATTAGGCTGATTAATATTAAAGTAACATAATCTGGGAACTGATTTTCAGGATATTCGACTTGGGATATTTGTTGCTTCTTAAATATACTTAAGTGTTTGAAAGAGAGATCAGGTTTTGAACTTGGTCAAGATATAGTCATAAATTTCCTAACACAACGAGTAAGCATCAGTGATAATGTTGGTTTACCTGAGCCCATACTGATGACGTAGGTGGAGCCCATACTGATGACGTAGGTGGAGCCCATACTGGTGACGTAGGTGTGTCCTCCGTACCCACCTGTGAGGTAAAACAACACACATTTCAAACAAGTTGATAAACCTTCAAAAACCCTGACAAGATGGGACTATAGTCAAACGTCGCATTTAATACTCACACTTACCACATACACCATAACAACAATATCCACCATGGCCACCATAAGCACCATACCCGCCATAGCTTCCATCATGCCACTGACAGGAGACACTGGAAGAAACAATCACTGATATGTTATTGTGATACGACATGATGGAGTCTTATAATTTACAACATCCCAGAAAAGTTTATCAAAACGTTTAAGTAAATATTTACCTTGGTTGCAGGTTGTGTTTGGTTGAGGCACAGGTTCACAATGATGTAGAGGGAGGCCATCCAGGACTATCAAGTAATCCGTGTAAATTATTAAGAAAATGTGAGACTTCTTTTCTAGACGTGAATATTCTGAGGCAGGAAGTCCTACACACATCGATGATCTCACGGGGAAAATGTCCAAAAGCGATGACATAATGAATTATGGACCAGACCCGCGTAAACGAAAGACGGGAGTCAAGGTCTTCCTGATGGTGGGATTTTCTGAGTTTTTGTGGAGCCGAAAAGTACCTATGGAACCATCGAGGACCTGTGGAACCAACGAGGGCCTGTGGAACCATCCGAGGACCTGTGGAACCAACGAGGACCTGTGGAACCAACGAGGACCTGTGGAACCAACGAAGACCTGTGGAACCAACGAGGACCTGTGGAACCAACGAGGACCTGTGGAACCAACGAGGACCTGTGGAACCAACGAGGACCTGTGGAACCAACAAGGACCTTTGGAACCAACGAGGACCTGTGGAACCAACGAGGGCCTGTGGAACCAACGGGACCTCTGGAACCAACGAGGACCTGTGGAACCAACGAGGACCTGTGGAACCAACGAGGACCTGTGGAACCAACAAGGACCTGTGAGACCAACGAAGACCTGTGGAACCAACGAACCTGTGGAACCATCGAGGACCTGTGGAACCATCAAGGACCTGTGGAACCAACGAGGACCTGTGGAACCAACGAGGGCCTGTGGAACCAACGAGGACCTCTGGAACCAACGAGGACCTGTGGAACCAACGAGGACCTGTGGAACCAACGAGGGCCTGTGGAACCAACAAGGACCTGTGGAACCAACGAAGACCTGTGGAACCAACGAAGACCTGTGGAACCATCGAGGACCTGTGGAACCATCGAGGACCTGTGGAACCAACGAGACCTGTGGAACCAACGAGGGCCTGTGGAACCAACGAGGACCTGTGGAACCAACGAAGACCTGTGGAACCAACGAGGACCTGTGGAACCAACGAAGACCTGTGGAACCAACGAACCTGTGGAACCAACAGGGACCTGTGGAACCAACGAGGACCTGTGGAACCAAGCGAGGACCTGTGGAACCAACGAGGACCTGTGGAACCAACGAGGACCTGTGGAACCAACGAGGACCTGTGGAACCAACGAAGACCTGTGGAACCAACGAAGACCTGTGGAACCAACGAAGACCTGTGGAACCAACGAAGACCTGTGGAACCAATATTTTTACCAATATTCGTAAAATACGTCTGAGAAAAGTTTGTTTACATCACAGTTGTCGATCTTGGCATAACACTTTAAACTTTCTCACCTTTCCAGACCAAAGGTTTTATATAAGGTGTTTGTAGCGCCATTATCCTAGTAATGTTTTACCAAGTAGATGAGGGAATCAGTTCAAGGTTATGTGGGTGACGGTAAAATTAACGTCGTCTGGCCGACACTGGCTGGTGACTGATGGCTGACGGTCAACACTCAGGGAACATTCGTTGCCTCGCTAAATTCTTCAACATTTTGCTTATTTTATCATCACAGGTTTGTGTTCCGTTGTAGTATATGAAAAAGTAATATTAATACAATAAATATAAATAGATGGGTGAAAGAAATCGATCAGATGTCATAGATCTTTGTTCTAATAAATATTAAATATCTTATAGGAGAATTATGGGTACAAATTTAACATGTTTAGAAAGTCGTAATTCAACAGTTCATAAAATATAATTTTGACGATCTAGTTGAAATAAATATAATAAGATTTATCCATATAATATTAGTGGTAATACTAAAACTAATACTGGTATTAATATTGTCACAACGAGAGGAAAATTTTCGCATTTATATGACGAACTGTAATACGGCAAGACTATGGCAGTAGGTCGACCTGACTTACTTGTTAAGCCTGGTAAAATGGATTATGAAGAAATTATTTTAGGTGTATATATTATTCTTGTTAATGCTATACATAAAGTTTTATTACACCAGTGAAGTTTGTGTATATGGCCTCTTTATACCCGACACACTCGTAAACGGGGCTGGATATCTTCATTGACAACTGAGAATGACCATTACCACATTGACGTTATTTTGTTATTGTTCTAATTTTAGTTTACCAGGTCTGACAAGAAGTAACTACAGTCACTTGAGGGTTCCCACAGAGTGTTATCACCAAGTTTCATAAAATTCGATAAAACAGTTTTCTGACCTTACTTCTGTGTGCGGAACATAGACAAACGCTGGTATATCGATGGCTCAGGGGATATTATATTATTATTATATTTATTTATTTATTTTTGAAAACACATCATCTTAAAGAGCAAAAAAGGATAATTTTGTTCGTGATCAATAACCTCTGTTACCCATAGGTTTATCATAGCTAAAATTTTGAGTCACTCAGTCACTTAGTCGCAACCAGTTGAATATAATAATTAATACGTTTCTTACATCAACCTATATCAAGTATGGGTGTGTGTGGTCGGGAGATGAGGGGCCGGAGGGCGAGGGTTAGGGTCAGGGGGCGGATCAGGGGAAGGGAGGGTCAGGGGCGGATCGAGGGGGGGTCAAGGGTGAATCAAGTTATAGAAGGAGGAGGGGGCAGAAGGTGTCAGGGAAGGGTGACTAAATGTATTAGGTCAGAGTATAAGGGAAGGGGCCAGAGGGTGTCGGGAAGGGTGACTTAAAGAATCAGGCCAGGGTATAAGTTATGAGGGAAGAAGAGAGGGTGTCAGGAAAGGGTGACTCAACTAAATAAAAGTGGTCATCCCCGTGACACAACTAATGTACTTTCTCTCTTGTTTAGTGGCTGCTTCACCTTGTACATTGCCTCCTTCTCTTCCTTCTCTTCCTTCTCCTCCTTCTCCACCACCTCCTCCTCCTCCTCCTCTTCCTTCCTCCTTCCTTCTCCTCCTTCTCCACCACCTCCACCACCTCCTCCTCCTCCTCCTCTTCCTTCTCCTCTTCCTTCTCCTCCTTCTCCACCCTCCTCCTCCTCCACCACCTCCTCCTCCTCCTCCTCCTCCTCCTCTTCCTTCTCCTCCTTCTCCTCCTCCTCCTCTTCCTTCTCCTCTTCCTTCTCCTCCTTCTCCACCACCTCCTCCTCCTCCTCTTCCTTCTCCTCCTTCTCCACCACCTCCTCCTCCTTCTCTTCCTTCTCCACCACCTCCACCACCTCCTCCTTCCTCCTCCTCCTCCTCTTCCTTCTCCTCTTCCTTCTCCTTCTCCACCACACCTCCTCCTCCTCTCTTCCTCCTGTCTGTCTGCCTTGCTCTTTCATTCTTTCTCCTCCTCTTCATTTCTGTCTATATTTCTGTCTCTAACTCTATCTCTGTCTCTATCTCTCTCTATCTTTTTTCTTTCCCAAACTCTTTCTCTTTCTTCAATTTATATAACTTGTATATGTACCAGTATCTGTATCTGTACCTGTATCAGTACCTGTATTTGTACCTGTATCTGTACCTGTATCTATATCTGCACCTGTATCTGTACCTGTATCTGTACCTGTATATGTACCTGTATTTGTACCGTTATCGGTACCTGTATCTGTACCTGTATCTGTACCTTTATCTGTATATGTATCTGTACCTGTACCAGTATCTGTACCAGTATCTGTATCTGTACCTGTATCTGTACCTGTATCTGTACCTGTATATGTAACTGTATCTGTACCTGTATGTGTACCTGTACCTGTATCTGTACCTGTATCTGTATTTGTACAAGTATCTGTACCTGTACCTGTTTCTGAACCTGTACCTGTATCTGTACCTGTATCTGTACCAGTAACTGTACCTGTATCTGTACCTGTATTTGTACCTGTATCTGTACCTGTACCTGTATCTGTACCAGTATCTGTACCTGTACCAGTATCTGTATCTGTACTTGTACATGTACCTGTATCTGTACCTGTATCTGTACCTGTATCTGTATATGCACCTGTATCTGTACCTGTATCTGTACCTGTATATGTACCTGTATTTGTACCTGTATCGGTACCTGTATCTGTACCTGTATCTGTATCTGTACCTGTACCTGTATCTGTACCTGTACCTGTATCTGTACCTGTACTTGTATCTGTACCTGTACCTGTATCTGTACCTGTACCTGTATCTGTACCTGTACCTGTATCTGTACCTGTACTTGTATCTGTACCTGTACCTGTATCTGTACCTGTACCTGTATCTGTACCTGTACTTGTATCTGTACCTGTACCTGTATCTGTACCTGTACCTGTATCTGTACCTGTACCTGTATCTGTACCTGTACCTGTATCTGTACCTGTACCTGTATCTGTACCTGTACGTGTATCTGTACCTGTACCTGTATCTGTACCTGTACCTGTATCTGTACCTGCACTTATATCTAAACCTGTACTTGTATATACCTGTACTTACAACATACCTATATACTGTAAATGAACCTGTACTCTTAATGAACCTGTACTCATAATGAACCTGTACTCTTAATGAACCTGTACTCTTAATGAACCTGTACTCATAATGAACCTGTACTCTTAATGAACCTGTACTCTTAATGAACCTGTACTCTTAATGAACCTGTACTCTTAATGAACCTGTACTCTAAATGAACCTGTACTCATAATGAACCTGTACTCTTAATGAACCTGTACTCTTAATGAACCTGTACTCTTAATGAACCTGTACTCTAAATGAACCTGTACTCATAATGAACCTGTACTCTTAATATATACCTGTATCTATACCTGAATTATTTCCTTCTAAATCAATAAATGTTTACGAATCTGTTACCTTAATAAACGTATTGTCATAACTAATAATACTTTACTACCAAGGTCTTCAGGCACATATAAGGAGTCATGTATGCAAGCACATATAAGGAGTCATGTATGCAGGCACATATAAGGAGTCATGTGTGTTTGTATGTTTATCTCGGTGTGTGTCTGTGTGTATGACCGGTTCTCATTGGTCGTGATGAGGAAGGTGTTGGGTAATATGTAAACATCTCAGGTGAGGTTAAATTTGGTTTGGTTATGTTTGGTTAGGTTTGGTTTGGTTAGGTTTGGTTAGGTTAGGTTAGGTTTGGTTAGGTTAGGTTTGGTTAGGTTTGGTTAGGTTAGGTTAGGTTTGGTTAGGTTTGGTTATGTTTGGTTAGGTTTGGTTTGGTTTGGTTAGGTTTGGTTAGGTTAGGTTAGAAGAGAGGGGAAAAAGAGTGAAAGGAATGAGAACAGATAGATAAAAAAAAGATTGATAAAGGGAAAGAAAAAAGACAGTGGAAGCGTAAGAGAAATAGAGAGAGAGCGAATAATAGGAAAACAGAGAGAGAGAGAGAGAGAGAGAGAGAGAGAGAGAGAGAGAGAGAGAGAGAGAGAGAGAGACTAAAAATAATAATATGATATTCTACATAATTTATTCTCCTTATACTTTCTACAATAAAAGACCAAAGGCTTAATATAAGTCAAAGTTTATCAACGTCAACCTCTAAAGCATTATCTAATACATATTCAAACACGTATACATAACATACATCTATACATAATTAAATAACCTAATAAAACCTGTTGTGGATAAACCAAGTGAATGAGAGAAATATTTTATGTTTTTCCATCATTTCCTTTTTCATAAATGTCAAAAGTATATCTTACATATCATCAAAAATATCTATGAATATGAAGTATATATGTATATTTAGATAATACATACATATACGTCAATTAGTATATATATATATATATTCTTAAATGAGGGACAGGGAAAGTTAGTCATTTCACTCATACTCACAGCAGTCACTCAACGTACCTCATGGTGTCTAAACTATCTTTGTCACTCATACCTATAACATTCACTCACATCTCTACGTTTCTCATAATCTCTCAAAATCCGTCACTCACACTTACCCTATATACTCACGTTACTCATAAACTATCAACCACCTCCGTCACTCACATCCACAACAGTCACTCAGGTCAATTACGTTACTCATAATATCGGCAGAAGGATGATGGCTTATGACTTGAACAAGGTAAGACACTCAGGTAACGACAGTGTTTTGAGGTCAAATAATTACACGCACACACACACACACACACACACACACACACACACACACACACACACACACACACACACATGCATATTTATCAAGTGACTCTTAAAAAGTAAAGACGAAAGAGCCATAAGTGTGCGAGTGTGCGAGTGAGTGAGTGAGTGAGTGAGTGAGTGAGTGAAAGGTGAAGGATTAAGAGGTGAGGGAATGAGTGTGTGTGTGTGTGTGTGTGTGTACGTCAGCTACATGAGTATTTCACGTATACATTATTATGTGTATAAGCAGTGTTGCCTTCACCCGCCTGCATGTACGTATGAGTTCTCGTATACATATATGGATGACCGCATACGTTCATGCATGACGCAATGAGGATACGGAGGAACCAGCGAGTCAGAGGACGTTTACGTAGGAGGTGAGGGGTGAGGACAAGGGGTGGTGAGGAGGGGTGGGGGGGTCAAGGAGGGGCGGGGTGGTGAGGAGGGGTGGGGGGACTGGGGAGGACAAGGGGGTGGGTGAGGAGGGGTGGAGGGTCAAGGAGGGAAGGGGTGGTGAGGAGGGGTGGGGGGTCAAGGAGGGGACGGGGTGGTGAGGAGGGGTGCAGGGTCAGGGAGGAGGCGGGGGTGGTGAGGTGAGGATGGAGGGTTTGGGGTGAAGCAGGAGGGGCAGTAAGGAGTGGTGGAGGGACCGTAGTGGAAGGCAGGAGGGAGGAGGTGAGGAGGTCAAGGGTCAAGGTTGCTTGCTACAGGTGAACAAAGAAGTAGTCTCACCTACACCGTTGTCGACATGATTAACCTGGTACTTCCTGGTTAATTACAGGTATACAGTATATCTCCTCTCATATTTACTGTTGTTTTCTTCTTATGATTTATCTCACCTGTCACCCTAGGAAAAAAAAAACTTCTACCTTATTAAGTGTAAATTCCTCTTCACGTTTGTCCTGGGATAAGAATAAACCAAACAAGGATGTGGGGGAGGTGATGAAGATGACGTCGTCGATATTTGTGAAGACGTCACGAACTGAGATATACCCATTTTCTGTCTCAACCTAACGTTTTCCATTTTCTTTCTCATAAACGAAGCAGTAACTGATCAATTCTCAATTTTTGTTTCTCATGATTTGGAATATATTTGAAGGATTCCCATTTTATTTTGTCAAGAAGAATGCAAGGATCTGACCCTTCCTACTCCACTCGCCCCCCCCCCCCACACACACATACAAGGTACAAGTCTCCCCTTAAACCATCATCGAGTCCCTATTTTCCATCTAGGTTCCTTCCTCTTTAGCCATGACAAACTCCCAAATACAGATATTAAGGTTATATTGGCCCCAGTCCCAATAATCCCCAACCTTATGAGAATTGGGACGGACCCATTAGCATTGATACCCATTAAGAACTGGGATTCACAGTTCTAATGGTTAAGTTTGGGTTTGGTTAGGTTAGGTTAGGTGAATTATTGCTTATTAGGACTTTAACCCACTTGGTCTTGGGGTCTAAAAGGAATTGGATCTATAGGGAATGTGACCTATTAGGACTGGAACTTTCTTGGACGTGGACCTATAAGGACTTGAGACTATAAGGATGTTACTCTAAACATCCTTAAGAAAATAGAACAGGATTTAACTTAACAAAATCCATGAAAGAGTTGACATGTTTTTTTTTCGACACAGACACAAACGTAAAATCTTGCAGAGTTAAAAAAAAATATTCCAGCGTTTTCCAAAACTAGACCAAAATTAAGTTTGTTTTTATTCTTACTATGTTTTTTTCTTCCTATTATTGTCAGTATTATTATTATTATTATTATTATTATTATTATTATTATTATTATTATTATTATTATTATTATTATTATTATTATTATTATTATTATTATTATTATTATTATTATTAAATGTGTATTGCATTTCCTTGTCACAATAATCTTTTACATATTCAAATTCGCTGTTTATTATCCACAACTTAAACAAACAAGGGCATATTAATCCCTTTTGTTTTCCTTGTGTTATATTGACAAAGCTGAACCGCGTTTCTAGGGAAATTAAAAACACAGGGAGAGACACAAACTTAGGGTGTTGATTTTTCAGGGAGATTAAAAACACAGGGAGAGAGACAAACTTAGGGTGTTGATTTTTCAGGGATTATTGAAACCACAGCTCAAGGGAGAAACTCAAACACAAGGAGATTCATTTTCAGGGAGCATTTATTACAGAGAAACAAACTGTAATGGAAACCTGTTGAAGTTCCATCATGCAGGCGAATCCTCAAGCAGCAGCCAGGACGTGTGATGTTTATATACAGATATATTAACAAGGGCCAAGGTGGGGCAGGATAGGTTCAACTAGATAGAAGAAAGGGATAGATGGATAGAGGGGAGTCACAACAACGAGTGATAATGAGGAGGAAGGAAAGAATTTGGGGGTATTTTGTTGTTGTGATAAACTAGAGCGTGTAGCATTGTTAAGTTTTTTGTTTTGTTTTTAAGGATGAAAGATTTTGAGGGACGAGGGATAGTGTGTTTGTTTAGGAAGGATTTGTTTAATAATGGATAGGAGGAGATTTTTATTTGGTGGTTGTGGTCAAGTGAAGTAATGGTCAGGTGTTGTGGTGGTGGTCGTGGTCAGGTGTCGCTGGCTTGGATTGGCTTCTTAAGAACGGGTCACGGTGACCTGTGGGCGGTATCCTCTCTCATCAGCGATGTATGTTACCTCTATAAAGCTGCCATCACCAAGAGGGGACCTGTAGTGAAGGAGGCGAGAGAGAGAGAGACGTTAATTACAGGTATACGCAGACGAGAAGCACAGGTAAGGTGAATAAGATGAAATGTCTGAGTTGGAGAGCGTAGGTGAAGGTGAGGAATATGGGTACAAAAAATGAATGCGTAATGGAGAAGTGTAGGTGAGTTGTTTAAGTGGAGGATCTAGGTGAGGTGTGTTGGTGAATACACTCTGTGAGGTGTGTAGGTGAATTGTTTAGGTGAGGTGTATAAGTGAGCTGTACAGGTGAAGTGCGTAGGATAGGTGTGTAGGGGGGGGGGGAGTAGTTACACAGGGGAGGTGTTGAAGTCGGTAGGGGGAGGGGTAGATGAGGTAAGTGAGAAGCGCAGGTGACTCAGGTGAGGTGCCAAGTGAGAAGGTGCGTCACCTCGCCACTCCTACCTGTCTCCTCCTCCTCCACCATCGACCTTCAGTACCTTACCGTTTTCGTCATTACAGACTGTGTGGGTGAGGCAGTAGAGTGAACGAAAGGGAGAAGGACCCAGAGGAGAAGAGAGAGAGAGAGAGAGGCCAATAAAGAGAGGTCAGAGACGGGAGGTCATGACAGAAAAGGAGAAATACTGATGCTGTAAGAGGGTGAAGGTAACATTGTCATTAGTGTTGTTGTTGTAGACTTTCACCGTTGTTATTCTCCGTACCATTGAAGTTTAACCGACCCTCAATACTTTGTTAATGTCTGCAGTTGGTTAGATGATAATTTAACATTTGTAACTTTGGTGAGTTGTTTATAAGGATCCGGATGAAGCTAAATGTACCTTATGATGCATTCGCATAACTCCAAGTGAGGAAAACTAATAAATAGCGAACCCTTTAAAACCTTTCTCGAATGCATGACCGAGGTTCACAAGTAAAAAAAATTCACCCTCTAGCTGCAGATGTCATAACACTTGTCTTCCTCTTTACACTACACCACTGAGGTCAAACGTGGCGCCAGGATGACACTAAGACTCATGACAATAATAAACATTCTCTAGTGAGGGACGAACACCTGCTTTGAGTATACCCTTAAAACTCTTGGTTATAGTGTAAGACTTACCTGAAGGCGCCATTGATGTTGCTCTGGCCCTCAATGCCTGGGGTGCCTTCAGCGTCTACGATGATGCCTTGGTCGGTCTCAAAGCCGTACTTGAAGGCGCCGGTTCCCTCGTTGATGTTCTCGCTGCGGATTGTTCCTGCCAGGGCGGGGTCCTGAGGGCGGGCGAGGGCGAGGGCCAAGAGGCAGGCGAAGATGACCTATAGAGAGAGAGAGAGAGAGAGAGGGAGAGGAGTTAGAGATAAGGTCGAGGTACTTGGATAAAGAGTCCTAAGGAGTCGAGTCTCATAAAGGAGAGAGAGAGAGAGAGAGAGAGAGAGAGAGAGAGAGAGAGAGAGAGAGAGAGAGAGAGAGTATCCAAATTTCTATCGTCTCCAAACATAAATGAAACTCCTACATGGTCTCACATACCTGCCACTGAACCATAATCTCAGGTGTAGTTTCGTTACTAACATAAAGCACAAAAAAGAAAAAACTCTTCCATAAAAATTACAGAAGCTCGGATTTTTGGAGAAACTAAAAAAAAACTATATCCGGTTTACGTTTCCTAAAAAAAAAACCCACATTCACTTATATTCTCATGACATTTATATACACATAAAAAACACAAACTCAATTGCTTTGCCAGATTAAAAAACAAAGTTATTTTTTTGCTTTTTTTTTTTTTGGCTAGACGATTCATGGCGTTAAGACAAATATCAAAACAGACAGTTGGTACACAAGGCTGACAGTCCCCTGAGGGAAGCTGTAAAGGCTGCAGAAATACTCACAAGCTTCATGTTGGCTGGTTTGAGTTTCGGGTGAGTGTGTGGTATGATGACTAGAGGCGGGCTATATATACCCAAGACCCAAGAGGAGGGCATTTCATACCCACCTCCTCCTCCTTCAACTTCTCCTACCCACCCCCTCCCCCTTTCTCTGTCTCCCCCCTCCCTCCTTCCCTTCCATCGGCTCCTCAAACTTAGGTGTGTGTGTATTCTTTCACCCCCTCTCTCCCCTCCCTCCCCTCCCTCGCCCTTCCCTCTCCTCCCTCGCCCCTCCCACTTACAATCCCATCACGTACACACACAAGCACACACACACACACACACACACACACACACACACACACACACACCGTCCGCGATTGGTTGGATTGAAGGAAGGGGGAGGGGTTTTTCCCAAGCATATCTTCAGTTGCTAGGCTGATGGCTCTTCGTTGAGACCATCGAAGCTTCTTTTTTAACTCGGTGACGTCAGAGAGCGGGTGTAGGTCCGAGAGAGAGAGAGAGAGAGAGAGAGAGAGAGAGAGAGATAATGCATGAGAGAAAGATGTATATATGATAAGGATAAGTAGAATAGGGAACCAATAGAGATAATGAGATGACGAATGAGGGAAGAGATAAAACATGAAAGATACCAAGGAAGAGAAGAATAAGAGATGAGAGAGAGACAAGTAAATAAAAGATCTTAGAGACAAATAAAAAAAGAGAAGAACAAAAAACAGATAAAAAGAGAAATAATACGTAGACATGAAGGAAGAAAGCAAAGGAGAATAAGAACAGACAAAAGAAGATCATCTAACACAAACACAGAAGAGAAGAGGAAGAGAAGAGACACAAGAGAAGATTGGAGACTAAAGAAACAATAGAAGGAGAATGAGGAAGAAGAATAAGAGAAGGAGGAGAAGGAATAAGAGGAGGAGGACAAGAGAAGGAAGAGGAAGAAGAGCCATAGAAGGAAGAAGAGGAGGAATAGAAGGAAGAAGATGAGGAGGAAGATAGAAGGAGGAGGAAGATAGAAGGAGGAGGAGGATTATAAGGAATATAAAGAAGAGGAGGAGAAAAGAGAATAAAAGACAGAAGAGACGGACAAGATGATGATGATGATGATGATGATGATGATGATGATGATGATGATGATGATGAGTCGTTCACATCTCCTCTCACCCCCCCCCCTCCTAGTCCTCTTCGACCTTCTCCTATTTGTCCTCCTCCTCTTATTTTTTCCTCTTCCTCCTTTTATTTTTCCTCCTACTCCTATTCTTCCTCCTCCTGTTATTCCCTTTTCTTCTATTCTCCCTTCTTCTATTTATCTTCCTTCTCTCCCACCTCTCACCTCCTCTTCCTCCTCCTCTCCTTCTCCTTCCTCCCCCTCCTCCACCTCATCCTTCACCTCCTCCTCTTCCTCCTCCTCTCCTTCTCCTTCCTCCCTCCTCCACCTCATCCTTCACCTCCTTCCTCCTCCTCTCCTTCCTCCTCCCTCCTCCTCCTCCACCTCATCCTTCACCTCCTCCTCTTCCTCCACTAGCAAAAACAATTACACGCCAAAAATATCATGCAAATAGAGCCCTCCCCCGGCCACCCTCTATTAACATACACTAGTCATCCCTCTTTATAACTCCCATAACTGCACAGAACAACGAGATACATTAACATTCATACAAGTCTCAGTTAATTACCTTTTAGTTAATTTATCTCTTTTATTACTGTTTAAGTTAAGGTATTTCTTTAATGGTATGTATACGATGTTTCTGTTTAGGTTAGGTTAGGTTAGGTTAGGTTTGGTTAGATTAGGTTTATCTTTTGAGTATGATGACTTTAACCCTTTGAGTATGATGACTTTAATCCCCTTGAGTACGATGACAACCTTTTAGTACTCTTTGTTGACACTAGTCTTCACCCTTTTGAATATGATGAATATAAGTTCCTTGTACTCAAAGGATTAAAGTCATCGTACTCAAGGGTTAGGTTAGGTTAGGTTAATTTGGGTTTGTTTAGGTTCGGTTAGTTTAATTTAGCTTAGATTAGGTTAAATGAAGATAAGTTAGGTTAACGTTAGACTTCGATTAGGTTAGGTTAGTTCAGGTTAGTTTAAGTTAGATTACCTTAAGTTAGGTTAGGTTAGGTTAGTTAAAGTACCTTTCTGATGAAGAGTGTGTGTGTGTGTGTGTGTGTGTGTGCGGTGTGTGTGTGTGTGTGTGTGTGTGTGTGTGTGTGTGTGTGTGTGTGTGTGTGTGGTGATTAAGTACAAGCCTCATCATATCCAGGTTAAGGCAACAGTTTAATACACCACAGATAATCTCCGAGTATGATGGCTTAACCCTTTGAATATGATGAATTAACCCCTTGAGTATGATGCCTTAACCCCTTGAGTATGATGACTTAACCACTTGAGTATGATGACTTAACCCTTTGAGTATGATGACTTAACCACTTGAGTATGATGACTTAACCCCTTGAGTATGATGACTTAACCCTTTGAGTATGATGACTTAACCCTTGAGTATGATGAATTAACCCCTTGAGTATGATGACTTAACCCCTTGAGTATGATGAATTAACCCTTGAGTATAATGACTTAACCCCTTGAGTATGATGACTTAACCACTTGAGTATGATGACATAACCACTTGAGTATGATGACTTAACACCTTGAGCATGATGACTTAACCCCTGCAAGACATTAGATCATTGTTAATTAAAGAGTTAAAATATGGTACTAAAGGGATTAAATAATTGCACTCAAGGGTTAACTTATCCTACTTTAAGAGTTCAAGATATTGTACTCAATGAAATTAGTACCATATTCATTGTATTCAATATCTTAATTGTTATCACTCAAAGGGTTAAGTTATTGTATTCAGAGGTTAATAAATCTTACTTTGGGGTTAAATTCATCGGACTCAAGGCTCTAATTTATAGTACTCAAGGGGTTAATTCACCATATTCATGTTATAAATTCTACGTACTCAGAAGTTTAATTTATCGTACTCAGAGGCTGATAGCAATGTATTAAAACGGGTTAAAAATTGTAAAAAAGTATATAAAAACACACACACACACACACACACACACACACACACACACACACACACACACACACACACACACACAACACATAAATTCACCCTAACTGTTCAAAGTCCTTTCACTTAACCAACTAGGTCGTAGTCATCCACACACACACACACACTGCTTAGCTTTACACACTTCGTCAACTAACCAAACTCATTCTTCCATCTGTCTTTAACATTAAGGGATCTGTGAACAATAAACAATAAGATACTTAAGAGGTACAACTTGATTTAGTTTTTATTATTCTTTTATTATTGTTTATTTGTTTATATTAGGTAGTGAGTTTAAGGACACCAGTAGTAGTATTTTTACTAGTGACCGGAAAAAGTTTATTTATTGGTTGTTTTTTTTAGAGAGAGAGAGAGAGTGTGTGTGTGTGTGTATATGTGTGTGTGTGTATATGTGTGTGTGTGTGTAAAGCAGCTTGACTCATTATCTGGGGAGGGAGGAGGAGGGAAGGGGTAGGTGGGGAGGAGAGGGGAAGGCAGGGAGGGGAGGGAGGAGGGAAGGAGGAGGAGAGGGAAGGAGGGGGTGGGGGTTAGGATTGTTGGTGGAGGGAAAGAGGTGGAGGTAGAGTGAATATTGTTGAAGGTTAGGGATGGGAGGGAGGGCGGAGGGAATGGAGGGAGAAGGGCACAGAAGCTGTGAGGCTGTTAAAGTGTGAGGAGGGGAGGGCAGGAAGTTGGGTAAGCAGGGGCACACGAGAGAGAGAGAGAGGGGGGTTGAGTAAGGGGAGAGAGGGAAAGAGGTGAGGGAGAGAGAGGGAGAGAGAGGGAGGGGGGGATGGGGGGAAGGAGCTTATAGCGGAGGGGTCAAGGAGTGCCTTTAGGGGGGTTGGGAGGGAGTGTGAGGGGTAACAAGGGAGGGGGAGGGAAGAAGATTTTTACAGTTGAAAGGAGAGGGAGGGAGAGAGGGAGGGAGACAGGAGAGGGAGGGGAGAATGACGTAGCAATTACAGAGAGAGAGAGAGAGAACAAGCACCCAGAGAATGAAGTAGGTTAAGAAGAGAGACTGTAATACTATGTCGTGTATTTAAGAACAGAAAGAAAAATACAAGTAAAGAAGGAGATGGACGACAAACAGAAAGTTAATTTAGATACATAAATAACACCAAGAGATGATAAAAAATCCAAGAACATTCAATAGATAAAGAGGTTAGGTTATGGTGATTTGACTGTTAGTGACGGATACAATGTTATGGTAAGGGTTGTTATTGATGAGTAATTATTTTTTTGGCACTCCCCTACATCTGTGTAAGGTGAAGCGCAGAAGTGTTTACAGCGCTAAGTTCATTCTTGCCTTATGTGTCATGAGTTAAGGGCGTAGAAGCCTGAAGAGTTTATGTCTTCAAGTTATTGGAAGCTCCAACAACTTGTCCCTGAATACGAATTCGCAACTTTCGTTTTACAGCAGGTACCTACTTTGCTGCTAGGTGAATAGGGACCAAGGGAGGCTGGGAAGTGTGTCCGAACAACTTTCCGCCGGCCCGGGAATCGAACCCGTGACGTCTCGCTTGCGAGGAAAGAGCGGTACCGCACTACCCACCGGCACCCTTGATAGGTATCGAAGATTGGGCAGCATAATTAGAGTAAATATGAGAGAGTTGATTGGTTACTGTATTTTGGTAAGAGAGAGTTGATTGATTACGGCATTTTGGTATGATGGAGCTGATTGGTTACTGCATTTTGGTATGATGGAGCTGATTGGTTACTGCATTTTGGTATGATGGAGCTGATTGGTTACTGTATTTTGGTATGAGAGAGCTGATTGGTTACTGTATTTTGAACTGAGGAAGATGACTGGGTAATACATTTCCCTACGAGTTTATTTTTTACACAAGAATTAATTAAGAGGATCATTTCATTTTATTAATCAAGAATCAACATTACATATTATAATCCAGGTAGAGAGACAGGTACAGGTACAGGTACAGGTACAGGTACAGGTACAGGTATAGGTACAGGTACAGGTACAGGGACAATGAGTTGATAATAGCGAGTGTTTTGAAGGTCAGAGCCAGACGGAACATTACGAG